TCATTAAGATTCATTTTTATGCTATGTTCCTTTAGCAGAAAAATAGTAGTAGCCTGGGCCTATGACATCTCTAGTCCTAGGTTCTTGACCACTTTCAAAGTGTCAGATATGGGTTCTATCTCATGGAATGTGCCTTAAATCAAATGTTAAAAAGTGGTTGGTTACTCCATACCATCTGTACCACTATTGTACCAGTATATCTTGCAGGCAGGTAGATCACTGGATGAAACTTGATAATTCCTTTTTTGTCCTCCGGTCTGCAAAGTACCTTCCAGAACCATGAGTGCTTGTCAGTAGGGGTGAAACTTTCATTTGGGCTCCAGCTCAATTTCTCCACATTTGACGACATAAAGAACTTGTGTCTTCAGTAGTAGGCTCTTACTATCAGGTTATAGAGAGTAACCAGGAGCCTTAGCCTCTGGGAGTGGCTTATGGGACCCCTTTGGCCAATAGCTCAGCAAGATTTAACCCATTCTTGGCAGTGGAAGTGTTATTTGGTGGCATCAGATGTCTTCTTGGGACACTGTCTCCCTCATTATATTGTGACTCCATTTAAATTTCTTTCACGTATGTCTATATTTTAGGAAGCTTCTATGGCAGTATATTTCCGTATGGCTTTTCAAAAGGTCTTTACTGTTAGTCGTCCACCTTCATCTTCTCTCCTTTACCCTGCCCTCTCATTCCCTTTTCCATCTAGTCCTCCTTTTCTAGTTCCCCCTTCATCTCTTTATAGCACTAGACTCTACATCCCCTTCCTTGGAAGGTCCTCTCCTCCCCATTGGTCCCTTAGGAGCTCTCTCACCTCCGTGGCTATTCCTATTGGAACAGACCTATGAGCAAACCTGTCTCCAAAAATAAGATGTGTGGCTCCTGAAGAGCAACACTTGAGGATGACCCCTGGCCTCCATGCACAATGCACACACATGTACTCCAGCACACACACACAAATATGTGCACATACCTACATAGGAAAAAAAAGTCATAGAAAAGCTCATTGTTGTCTATGCTTACTAAAAAATTAATGAGTGAAATAATCGGTGTTCAAACAAAGCTCTGCTGTTATTATTTTAAACACCTAAGAAATTTAGCCTTGGTCTTAGGTTGCTGTTGCTAACTAAGCTGTTGTTTCAATTGTTTAATATGTAAATGTGCAGATAATAAACTAACAGGACAAATACCTGCCTTTAACTTGCCCCATCCATGTAAGACTATCTAGTAGGCCTTTCCTTTTCCTATGTGTTGATACTTGGAAGGAACACATTTGGCAAGCTTTGAATATTTGTCAAGGTACACTGGGCCCAGCCCTTAACACAAAGTTAAATACTTAGCTTGCCTGTGACTCTGCAGAATCTATAATTTGTCACTTCCTTTACTTCTGGAGAAATGAGGCAAGAAATTCTGCCCAAGCCACAACTAGCCAAGGTCAACTTTGAGAATCATATTTGTCACTGATCTTTTTTTTTTTTTTTTTTTTTTTAAAGGTATCATGTCCTTAAGGAAAATTACCAGAAAAGGCCAAGAGTCCTGCTCACCCTCACTTCCTCTCTAACCTTGCTTGGGTACCTCCCCCTCTGTCACCAGTGTTTTCCATACATAAGAATCTAATTTAAGTATCTATTGAAAAAGTATAACCAAGGTGCAATTTAAAATGTCTTCCTGAAGATCAGCTACTCTGAGGATACACAGCCAATTATCAAATGCCCTGAGGTATGAACTGTACTCTCATATTATTATTTATTATTATTATTATTATTATTATTATTATTATTATTATTATTATTATCTTTTCCAAGAACACAAGGAAAGCATTAACAGTTTGGTTAAGTTCATGGGTAAAAATGGTCTAGCTCTGGAATAAAGAGTCTCAGAGCCTTGATTCCTATTTGACTCACTATTGATCTCCTCCTCCTCCTCCTCCTTCATGTGTGTGTTCTTTGTTCATTCATGTGTGTGCATGTGTGCGCATACATGTGGAGGTCAGAGGTCATAATGTGTCCTTCTCATCTACTCTCCTCATTTTGTGGGACAGAGTCTCTTACTGATCCTGGAGATCACTGATTGGGTAGGCTGGCTGGCCAGTGATGGCCAGGGGTCCACTTGTCTCCCCACCCCCACCGCTGGTTTACAAAGTTAAACCATCATGCCTAACTTTTTGTGTTGGTGCTGGGGATGCAAACTCAGGTCCTCCTGCTTGTGTGACAGGCACAACAGGTAACTCTTCAGCTCCTGTTTTCTTTCTTATCTTTAAGGAGCCTCTAAACCCACTTAACCTGACCAGGCTCCACTGCATGGCACATAGAGCTGTAATGTTCCTTTGAGTCTTTTAGCAAGCACCTCTCTTGAAGAATTCATTTGAGACAACTTCTAAGACACCTCCCACTCAGTCAAACAACAGAAACATCCACATGTATCCAGCAAGGGGAGCGAGAGGGGTGACCCCTAACCTCCCGCCCATCTTACCTTCATAAGAGAATCTGTGGGTTTTCGTTTTCTTTTTTTTTTTTTTTAAGATTTACTTATTTTTATTTTATGTGTATGGGTGTTCTGCCAGTATGCATGTATGTATACCATGTGCAAGCCTAGTGCCTGTGAAGACGAGAAAAGAGTGTCAGATTTCCTGGAGCTGGAGTTGCAGATGGTTGTGAGCCATCATGTGGG